CTTCTTTACTCTTCTTCATTGACCTGACAAAGGCATTTGACACTATAAACAGGGAGGCTCTCTGGATCATTGCCTGAGGAAATTCTTGAAGTTGATTCAACTGCTCCATGATGGAATGACAGGACAAGTCCTTTACAATGGTGATATGTCATCTACATTTGCCATTTCCAATGGGGTGAAGCAGGGTTGTTTCTGTTCAATCTGTTCTTCACTTGCATGTTGTCACATGCTATCCAGGGTCTAAAGGAGTGAGTGTACATCAGGTACTGATTGGACAGCTCTCTCTTTGACCTTCACCAGTTGAATGCTTGGACAAAGTGCTTCCAAACAGTCATTCAAGAAACCCTCTTTTTTGATGACTGTGTGCTCCTGGCACACAAAGGCAGTGATCTACAGTTGATGCTGAAGAGATTCTCAGATGCTGCTATGCTCTTCAGCCTGAACAAGACTGAAGTACTTTATCAGCCAGTGCCAAATACCAACCATGTAGAACCAAACATCACTGTTGACAACACCCAGCTGACAAATGTACACAGCCTCAAATACTCGGGAAGTATCATTTCGAGTGATGGGTCTTTGGACAAAGAAATTGACTCCAGGATCAGCAAGGCCAGCCAGGCTCTGGGACGGCTGCATATTAGAGTGCTCAATCAACACAGTGTCTGCATCTCCACAAAGCTGAAAGTCTACAGAGCTGTGGTTATCCCTTCTCTCCTATATAGATGTGAGTCCTGGACTCTGTACCAACATCACATCAAACAACTGAAGAAATTTCACATGTGCGCTCTCTACTCCATCTTTGTCGTTTGTTGGCACGAAAGACTGCGTCTCCAACCTGGAAGTCTTGGATCACGCAAAGTCCACCAGCATTGAGTCCCTGATTATCAGAGCCCAGATATGGTGGGTGGGACACGTCATCAGAATAGACGACCACTGTATGCCTCACCTGTTGCTCTACAGGGTACTGGAGACTGGAAAGAGAGTTCGAGGTCATCCATGCAAGCACTACAAAGACGCTATAGAAGAAACCCTATGCCACTGTGACATCCAGCCAAGGGAACTAGAAGCTGTGGCTGCTGACAGAACCTGTTAGCGAGCCCTGTGCTATGAAGCCTCCATAGGTTTTGAAGACAGGCACCGCCAAAAACTGATAGAAAACCGTGAGCGGCATCATAGAACAACACCCATAATTATTACAACAATGGATTTCCAATGCCCCCATTGTGCTAGACTCTGTGCTTCCAGACTGGGACTGCAGAGCCACCTCTGTGTCCACAGATCAACTGCACAACAGTGTGTCTTCTTTGAACCCAAAGGACACAAATATGAAGCTTTGAATAATTCTCCTCAATAAATAAATGAACAAGTATTAAGTATTGTTTAATTGGGTTTGCTTTATCTAGTTTTAGGACATGTGAAGAACAGATCAGGTTTTAGGTCATATTTATGCAGAAATATTGAAAATTCAAAAGGGTTCACAAACTTTTAAGCACCACTGTAGATGGGGTGTGGGGAAGATTGCAGGTCTACTCTTTAGTAGCTCCTACTCTCTCCCCAGAGATATGCAAAGCCCCCACTTTGTTGATATTTCAGGAATAACTTAAAGCAGTTTTATTTCAACAAGCCTTTGATCCCATTTGATTGGTTACAGGTATCTTGAGTTTATCTCTGCTTTCTGATGTTTTTATTGTGGTGTTAGTTGTTTTGTTTTCATTGTTGTATATTATCCAGAGTTCTTTGGGATTAGGAAAAGTTAGAAGTACTGTTAAATAAATAAATTTCCCCAAAAGAGGAAAAATATAGAAAAAGAAAAATACAAAGAAATGAATGTTAATTAAGCATATCCTACCAAACTTGGAAAGCTTGCTTAGAATAACTCTAATACAATCAGAGAAATTGAACTGAAGGGTAAAAAATACAGATACCTTGAAAATAAGAGCTTAAAGCTCAGTGAAACAAATCTAAATTAATGTGATCTGCTCAAAATACTGCCAGATCTAAAAGCAAGCAGGCATTCTATTATAGACATCAATGACAGGTTTGAATAGACAAATTAGATACAACATAGGAAATCAATGACAGGATTCTTTTTTTGCTATCAATAAATAATACATTGGGCTCTCAATTTTGATTGGAGTCACAGCCCCAGGAAAAAAGAATTTACATGCATACACCTTTGGCATTTTTCCAACAATTCTCTCTTCAAAACATATTAGTGTAAGAAGGAAAAACCAAATACAATGTAGGCACTTGTTTCATTTCAGATATATATTGAGCGGATCCAATTCAAATTGGTGAAATGGTACATGAAAGATTAAGAATACTCCTCAGTCCTATATCAATTATCTGAATTCAGTCATAGGATTTCTACATCATATATTTGGCAGGCTTTGGAGAGAACTTCCAGATGTGTGGACATCAACTTCCAGAATTCCCAAGTCATTGCTGAGAATTCTGGGAGCTTAAGTCCTCATATCTGGAAGTTGTTAAGGTTGGAAAACACTGCCTTTAGACATCCTCGTGTGTGTGTGTGTGTGTGTGGTACTCTTGGTAACACTATCAGAGAATGGTTGACTAGACCATTGCTACCCAAGCCCCTTTTCCTTTGCAGGTTTGGAAGCAGTTTATCTCAGCAAGGAAGTCAGTGTAAGAGAAGTGTATGTAACATGAAAAATGGATAGGCTATTTTAAAAAGCAAAGTAGAAGAATAGTAAAACTGATAAGCATACTCATGCTAAAAAGAAGGACCAATGAATTGTATAAAGGCATTCTAAGATTCTACATGAAATGGATAAAAAAGTACTGGGAATAAATATATTGGCACTGATTCTAAAACAAAATTCTGGGGCCTTTTCCCATTACAAAGTGATAATGTTCTCCCCCTTTCCTTGAGTCAGAAGAAAACTACTGATTATTATGTGCCATCAAGTTATGAAATTTGCTGTTCTCATTACCAATTACTATTGCCTCTGTCCCAGTCACCTGATTTTTGTAATAGCATTACAATGTTGGCAGTTTTATATTTAATCTCTTTCCTAATGATCCTTAGCATGGAATTTGTCTTTTGCACAGCTGCCGTACACTTAGACATTTTTCCTGAGCACTCCACTATGAGCCCAGGATTATATTCAGACTTCAAGTGTCTGAATTAGAAATTATAATATAATGGTTAATATCCTTAGATTATTTTTAAGGTTTCACTCATTAATAGTGATACAGCAAAAGTTCTTTGAAATATAGCCCTGAAATCAAATATCATGGCATTCCAGAGTATCAGACAAACAGAATATCTAATTACTCATTACCTGGAATATCTGCATGGATAAAGGCTGGAGCATATTTAGCTGGAGAATGCACCAATATAGCAGCCATACACTGTGTACTTGCTACCTGTAATACTTCATCTCTTGACAATAGCAGCTGTGGGAAACATCAGGATTTGTATTAAAGGATCATTTTTAAACTAATTACAGTGAGTTAATTAGAAAATACATTTACTGAATATAAACAATATTTAAATTTTTTAAAAAATGATTAGAGTATGGGAGTTTTATTTCAAGGCTGAACAATCCAATATTATTAAAAGATCACTAAATTCATATAAAACATAAACCTATGACTCAATGCCACACACATGGATCTGTGAATGCCTGGCGCTATACAAAGTCAACAGGACACTAAGGACCTTCCTCAAGAACTCAATGGGACTGTGGACAACATCACTGGAAGTCAACTCAAGACAGCTCGCACAAGTGGACATCAAGTGTGGCATATACCAAGGTGATGCACTGTCCCCGCTGCTGTTCTGCATAGGCTTAAACCCCCTCAGCCAGATAATCACAAGGTCTGGATATGGGTACAAGTTCAAGAGTGGAATCACCATCAGCCACCTCCTCTACATGGATGCTGTATGCTAAGAGTGTATGCTAAGCTGTATGCTAAGAGTGAATGAGACATCGACTCACTGATCCACCTGACACGGATCTACAGCAAGGACACTGGGATGTCATTCGGACTGGAGAAGTGTGGTAGGATGAGAATAAAAAGAGGGAAGGTAGTTAAGACCGATGGAGTGGAACTACCAGGGGGCCACATAGCAGACATAGAGACCAGCTATAAATCCCTTGGTGTCACACAGGAACCATGAGGAGGAGGCA